CGCCCCTCTTCCAATAAGCGCTGAAAGTTTATATAAGTGCTCGGGTGCACGGTAAGTGCAATCTAATTTCCTTCAAAAAACCGCAAGAACATACAAGTGAGAGGGAAAAATGCTCAAAACAGTCAAAGTTTATTCACGTATGCTTGATGCTGTAATCTAAACAGATCGAAAAGTTGAGCATGCAATCAATACCTGGAGGACACCCTGTATGAAGCAAACACTAGCAAGGGTAGCTCCGTGGGTGTCGGGTGAATTAATACAATTTCCGCTGGAGTGGATTCGTTTCATGAAACTATCCGATAAATTTATTTTGCAAATTGCTACCCTCACTTTCAAATAGCGAGGTTATTTGTTTCGCGACAGGTGAAATTGTTGATTATTGAGGGCATCCCAAAATAAAACAGGAGCTATTTCAATGTGTTAATGAGTGAAATCGACGATTCCTGTTCGAAAATACCCTCTCTAATCAAACGTTATTTGGTATACACGACATTTGTGCGGCAACACGACTTGCTGCATTTAATTTGAAACATTCGAAACCTTCATTCCCTTAGCTGTGTGAACACGATGTCTTTTACAAAATCAATTATGGACTGAAAATTTCCAAGTTCATCTGAGGCGCTAATTAAGCTGAAGTGGACATCTGCGCTCCTGCTTATGTTAACAGCTCATAAAGTGATGAAACTAAATGTTTGCCTGTGCTCGTCCAAATGCGGACAGGAAAAAACTTATCTGAACACATCGACTCCTTATTCAACTGCTATTTGCGTTACAATAGTTTAAGTGCACCTCATGTGCAAAACTAGATTATATTTTTTTCAAACCTCACCAGAAGACCCTACTAGACACGTTCACATCGATTGAAATCCCATGTGGACGTGAGCTTAAAGGCAGGTTTAAGTCCGTTCACGAATTTATTCGAATAATTCATGGCTTATCCAACAATTAATCGAAAACTCTCAGTTTAAATGCAATATAAACTGTTTGAGAGCATTCTTACCTGAAATGTTCGAGGTTTGATAGAGGACTGCTACCTGATTTATCCATGTTTGAACACAGTCGATATCGACACCAGTCGAATGGTGGACGCGAAAGTGAGAAAGCCTGTCGCAGTCGCGCGCTGATTGGTTCACGAACAATGCGCAAAATATTAGCAATTCTAAACTGGTGTAGGTTTACAGGCGATGAAAACACGGAGCGTCTGGATGGGATTATTTAGGTAAATTGCACTCACATCAAAATTCGCCGAAATATTTTGCTGGTAAACCAACTGTGAGGGAATCTGCCCCATGGTGTATTGAGAGACAGCTTCGGCTGAAGTGATCCAATCAAACCGAATATACGCGAAAAGTGTAAACTTCATCGTGTTTGTGATGGATAATCTGTACGTTGTTGACAAAAACACAGTTCGATTCTTCCTAAACGCTATGGCTGCCATTCAAGCGATAAGGACTCGGAACCATCAGGCAAACCTGATACGAAGGTATCGAACACTCAAAAAGCGAAGGATTCGAACATTGATGGCGTTAATTGCTTACATGGAACACAGAAAGCTCACGCAAAAATTGCAAAAACCTGAACCAGCCGGTCCACTAAAGCGAGTCTGGGTCCTTCAAAGAGATCAATTCATGTTCGAGGAATTACTCGCTGGAAATCTTCCCAAGGAAACATGGTATCAGAATTTCCATGTCTCAAGAAAGACATTTTTCAAAATCTGTGAGACAGTTCGTTCTGAGTTATCCAGGCAAGATACGAACATGAGACCGTCAGTCTCTTTAGAAAAGAGAGTTGCCGTCGCTTTGAACCGTCTTGCAACTGGGAGTTGTTATACTGCTTGTGGAGTTAATTTTGGCCTTCCCAAATCTACGGCCAATGTGGTTAAGAATGAATTCTGTGATATTTTGAGAAGAAAAGCGGCGAGTTTTATCAAGTTTCCGAAAAGCGAGGTTGAAGTAGGAAAGGTTGTCAGCGAGTTTGAAGACATTTCAATGTTTCCCCAGGTGATCGGTGCTTTGGATGGAACCCACGTAAAAATTATCGCACCGAAAGAAAACAAGTACAATTTTTTGGGGAAGAAAGTTTTCTACAGCGTTCTTGTTTTAGGCGTAGCTGATAGTAACTGCAAGTTTATCCACGCCAGTGCTGGATTCCCTGGTGCCATGAGCTTTGCACAGATGCTTCGCAGCAGTGCGTTACAGCGTGACATTCAAAATGGCGTGATCTTGAATGCACCAAGTCGAATAATTGATGGCAATGATGTAAAGCCCCTTCTTGTCGGTAACTCGAATTTTGACCTAAATTCTTGGCTTATGACCCCCTATTCACAAACTCCAAATATTTCTGCTGCTCAGAATAATTTTAACACAGCCCTTAGCTCAGCAAGGGAAAAAATTGTGCAGACATTTGGATTGCTTAGGGGTCGCTGGAGGTGTCTGTTAGAGACAATGAAGGAGGACACCTTAAGGGTACCTACCACTGTTATCGCATGCTGTGTTCTACACAATCTGTGCTTGGAAATGGAAGATGATGCAACCATTGAGCCTGTTTTCATTCACAATGATGTGGACCTTGATGTTGAAAACAGCGATGACTTACCGACAATGAATGAAGGTGGGAAACAAGTCAGGGAGACAATAAATCAATACTTGGACACATTTGGATATAAGTAGATTGTTATGCTATCATGTGCCTTTAAAAGACAAAATGATATTTCTTTCCATTCAGCAAAGTTTTTTGTATTTCTTTTTAAGAGCTGTTCACATAGATTTGAAATCAATCATTGGTGAAGGTAGACAACTACTATCTCTCACTGAATAAAAGTCTCCTTTGATTAGTAGTCAATTTCCAGTTGAGATTCCAGAAATCAGTTTCCAGAAATCCGTTTCCTAAACAGTTTTTTTAGCTTGATTGCTCCCTAACAAGCCTCCAAATGAACAAGCACAAGTTGATAAACAATTTAAAATTATGCCAGCTGGGTGATCTTTTTTTAGTCTATGGCACAGTTGTGAATGCAACTCTTCAAATTCAAAGCCATACAAGAATTCAATCAATTTGCCAACCTCAAGCAGTGAACTCTAAGAGAAATATGATTCAGTAGGGAAGAACTGGGGCCCCTAAAGGACTTGCAATCTAAGCAAGGAGGGATCAGTAAAGGGGTTAGATTATTATTTGCACCAAACCAGATGAAGATGAGCATCTTCTTGGTCAACTGAGGCAGTAAGGCACATGCAATTAACTCCTAATTTATTATTTAGGCTAAGAAAGTTCAACAGACAAGATAAGTGTAATGTAGGTGGAATTGCTGAGGAGTGTGATCTTAGGACTGCCAGTGACCACTACTTTTAAGAGAATCTCATGTTAAGTTATCACAATACAAACATGACATTTAAATGTTGTGGAAACATATGATTCAGAAGAATCTGTGTGACATACATCTTAAGCAATGCTAGACTCCATTTGCCTGTTCTTTGCATTGAGCTAATGGAAGCCCGCTGATACACAAGGTAGAGCAGTGGTATAAACCACTTAATGTAAGGTGCTTAGAAATGCAAAACCATAACCCCACGGTTGAAAAATTCTAGCTATGTTCCTCTCTTGTTGAGAAGATCAGAACAGTTCAACTTCTATCATGTCTCACTGTGAAAAGGAAATATGACAAGATTCAATCCTCAGATACTGGCAAGGGACTACACAACGGATGATAAATTGTCTTGATACTAGAAAACTAAAATATTCTATGAGTTTTTTTTTATCTTAAACAGGCAGTTTAGCTCTCTACAAACCCCCCATACTTCTTCAAGCAGTCAATCAGTGATTCATTAATTCCTCTGTTTAACTTAAGCCGGTATTCCCGTTAGGTGTGCAGCAGGCATGACGAATGCATAAGTCGAGAGAGAGTGGGAAGGAGGCTTGTTACCTCTCGCGATGGTACAAAATAATTCTTGCCTTTTTAAAACGCTTCACCTCAATACATTCTAGATATTCCATAACTGTGTATTCTATTCTAGAAAACATATAAATTACTTCGAACTTGCGAGTATCATAGGTTCTATAAGAAGTTAAAGAAATTGTGCGGATTTCGTTGTAGGTTTTCAGACAAACAGATGTAATCGCCTCTCATAGTAGTTTTGTAAGAGTTCAACTTCCTTTACGAACATGACAACATGACGTCGACATTGCCACGTATCAAACTGCAGCTATTCACAAATCTGATGAAAAGATAAAGTAGCGAAACATTACAGGATCAAACGTTTTGAGGTGAGTGAAGTATAAAACTAACATTTTGAATACGTTTACTCAACCAGAAATAAACTCACTTGCCCTAAACCCTTTAACCGGCCTGAGAGTGGCTAACATCCTATTAACTCTCCATACAATATCACCCCTCAGGCACTCAAGGTCGCAAGAATAAAGGAAATTATCACCAACTAAAGAAGCTCTTGATTGTTAAACAAATTCTCCTTTTCAGCACCTTAAGAAATGAACAGCCCAGTATGGAGAATATGCATACTGATGTTAGGGTATAAGGAGTTAAGCAACAGCGGATGTGCTTGACTTTGGCAGTCGCACATGTTACACCAAAAATCTGCTTCCTTGTGAACTGACGCAGTCACAAGAGCGTATTACTCAGACTCTAATCTTGGAGCGTATCATTTTACGATAGTAGCTGTGTAGTGAGTAGTTTTGTAAAATTTTAACTCCTTTTGCGAGCATGACATCATAAAATTGCCGCGTATTAGAACAGATTTCATAATTCATGAAATTTTGTGGAAGCAAAGCATTTGAAGAAGCAAAAATTTTGAAGTGAATGAAATACGAAACCAACATTTTAAAATAAATTGCCCAACTGGAATTAACCCTCTTACCCTTAAGCAACAGCGGATATGCTTGACTATCGCAGTCACCCAAACACAAAGTATCTTATTCCTTGTAAACCGACGTCGTCACCAAAGAAAGCGTATAAATTAGATTCTCCGGTATTGGAGCGTATGATTTTACGATAGCAGCTTCAGAGTACACTTTCCTAGTCCATAATGATTTTTGTAAAGATTTTATTTTGTCTGCTCTATTGCAGCTTAAGTTTTAAAACAGCAAGAGGTCAAAGCAACACAGCAAAAAATACTCCCGATACTTCGACATCAAGCAAGTGCCACAACGTTCACTTCAACAACTATTATTCTGGACCAGCAAATAAGGACATCAAGGCACATCTTCTCAAAATAGAGAATCAACTGGCCGAATTAGAGAAGAAAATCGACGCTTTGACGGGAAACAAAACAACTCTGCCAGGTGAGTTTCTGTCAATTTTATATATACGTCTTACTACTCATCTATGCTGGAATATATCATGCTAACTATAGTTGTTTGATGTCTCTCGCGATCGACAGCTATGAAAAACTGTGCTGAGCTGTATAAATCCGGCCAAAGAATCACAGGAGTTTACACAATCGACCCCGATGGTTTAGGTGCGTTTGAGGTGTTTTGCGACCAAAAATCTTCTAGTGGGGGCTGGACAGTATTCCAGAAGAGACTTGATGGCTCCGTTGATTTCGTCAATCGCGCCTGGGCGGATTACAAACGTGGATTCGGAAACTTAAATGGTGAGTTTTGGCTCGGACTGGACAAGATATACCGCCTGACCAAAACAAAGAGTAGACTGCGAGTGGAACTTGAAGACACACAAGGAAAGACAGCTTACGCTGAATATGATATGTTCTCTGTTTCCAGCGAAAGAAATAAATACAGACTTGGCCTTGGGAAGTATACAGGTGAGTGCCTACAATCTGTGGATTGGTCTATTTTACCCTAAATATGGTTCCTAAAGATACAGCCGAATTAGAGCGATTCTTTTATTTTTATACAGACCAATAAGCCCAGCGTCTTAGAAAAGGTTACTATAAATGTTATTTACTCCCCCAAAACAGTAGATTCTTCGTTTTTGCTTGTTTGTTTTCGTTTTTTGTTTGTTTGTTTGTTTGTTTTTTTTAGAACTTATTGCATTCTCTTCTATCATCAGAGACTGAAAAACTCTGACATTCAATTTCTC